AAAAAAAAAAAAAAAAAAAAAAAATAGGGAAATTCATCGCTCAAGGTCTGCCCCCCGTCGTGAGACGAATAACATACGTGGCATTGTTATAGCCAGCGACATTTCCCTTATTTGTATTCCAGGGGGAAGAGCCCAGTGTGATAGGAGCCAATGGAGAAATCACAAAAGAACCGTTCAGATAAGTCACGTTCACCTTGACGGACTTTCGGCCCGGTCTATAAAAGAGACGTAGCACGATGGCGCAGTCACAGTCACAGTGAAACCATAGAAAAATGTTCCGTTCAATTGCCGGTGTCCTGATCGTGGCCCTGTCGCTGCTGCACCAGGCCGCGTTCGCTATCGATGTCTCGCAGGACAAGAACGTACGCGTGGAATTCACCAGCAACGATGCCGTCCAACAAACGAAATCGGTGAGTGACCTCGAAAACGGTCGTTGCAGCCTGCCAAGTTCAAGCACATTCTATTTCAGAGACTTTGCTCGTACGGATATTTAAGACTTTCTTTTTTTTTTTTTTTTTCTTTGTTGCAATCGATGAAACAATTCTCAAATATACTCGCAACCATTCGCGAAACTCGAAGCGATTTATTCAAGTGAAATGACGTAGCATTGGAGATAATCATTCAAATTTTGTTAATCATATCTTCCTATGTGGTATCGTTTAAGTTTCAAGCAATCGTCAACGTGCGTTGCAACTTTGCTGAAGCAAGTACAATATATATGTTAAGTACAATATCCTAAGATATTGATGATAATAGTTTCAATCTCTGGGAAGATAATATACTCTGCCATTTTTTAAACTTTCGTAAGAAGCAGTAGGAAGTTCTTTGGTCTTTCGGGAAATATATAGCATTTCGTGTACATTAGGTGGGTCCCTATCCTGAGGAACGCGGACCAATATTCATCGGGGATCTGATCGCCGGCCAGCGCTACGCAGACGAAACAGTTTTTCGCCGGGTAATCGAATTCAATAACCCGACCAACACGATTCAGGGCACAACGTTGGACGTGTCCGTCTCCAGCGGTAAAAATTCCTCGCTCATACTTGGAGAATAAAAATCTTCGAATATCACTCGAAGCACTCTATTTAAAACTATATTATGTAAATCGTATTTTTGCATATTACGT